AGGAGAACGGCTCTGTCTTACACCACTGGACGTGGTGAACTCAGGCGAGAGCTTCCCGTATACTCGTACACGTTCACAGGAGTTCGCCTACAGTGCCCTCATTAGGGAGAGAAATTTGGAAGGGATTCCTTCGACCGACAGACACTGCCAAAGTTGCTGGTGACCATCAGAATCAAAAGTGGCTTTCAAATCCAGAAAAACGACCAACGTTGGACGTCTGAAGGAGTGGCAGTGTTCAAGAATGTCCCTAGGTTAAGATGTGGTCGACACATCCTCGACCGGGGCGAAACACATCTTGATTATCACGAATCTGTCTCTCTTGATAATCCATCGACCTGCGCGAAATAATGCCAGAGAGCACTTTAGATGCGACGGATACCAGGCTGATACCACCATGGTTTTCACATGACGTTCTTGCTCCCTTTTTGAAAACTGGGATGATGATCGAGGAGCTCCTCTCGGCTGGTATTCTCTTTTCGTTCCAAGTCTTCTGTAGTATGGTTAGCAGACTTCACCAGGACCTCTCCACCTTCTTTGAAGAGCGCGGGGTGAAGACCATAGGGGCCAGGTGCCTTGTTGCGCTTCAGAATTGAAATCTCACGCTGGATTTCGCTTGCTGATGGTGGATTGGTGTCGATGTTCCATTCGGGCCCATTTGCTTCTTCCAGCGGTTGTGTTGAAGAAGACCAGGTGAACTGTTCTTGGAGGTGCTAAGCCCACCGCTCAAGACGGCGTCTGAAGGAGTGAATTGCTGTTCCGTCTTTTTCACATATTGTCTCACTGACATCTGCCTTCTTTTGACCCTTTGATAAGATCAGTTGAGACAAGGCGCGGCTGTTGCCTGCAACGAAAGCCTTCTCCATCTCTTGTGCCTTCGAAATCCACCAGCATTTTGTCATTCTCTAAGCTCCTAATTATCCGGTGGTTGAGGGATTACAGTCACTAGTTGCTGATATGGCCTTTCTGGCAGCAATAAGATCTGCTGATCTCGAAGATATCCAGTGTTCATTGAGTCGATATGGGCTGGACAAACAGTTCTGAAAGCTCAGAGTATTGCTCCTCTAACCCACCTCCACTCAACCTCCAAGCAATCTTCGTCGTCCACACGACTGTGCATTTTCAGTAGCTTTCTAGCCAGATCAGCGCCGTGCTCCTCAGCTACTGAAACTTGTCGAATTTGATGAACGGAGCTACTCTCCTCTGGCATGCATAATGCTGGCGGAAAGCGAGGTGCTAAGGGGGCCCGCACGGTGGTGCGTACCCCAGAAGGAACGCCAACCCTCAAATGAGGCTATCCAGCGGTACCTGATAGCCACATGGTCCGATTGAGTCCACGACTATCTTGTGGTAGGTGGTCTCCAAGTAACTCGATGTCAGCAACTGTGCTGGATGTTCGTACTGGTCAGAAACAGACGATGATCTGCACACAACTAAAGATGGCGCCCTCCGTTATCCGTACGCTCAGCATCGATTCCAAATCGACCACCTAACTGTTCTTCTTCTGGACTTAGTCATCCAACTTGGCCATTCATATCACCCGCCAGGACTAACATATCCGTCAATCTTGCCGACCGAGACAGTCGTGACATATCTTGATAAAACTCGTCCTTCTCAGTCCCATAACTGCTATCTGTCGGAGCGTAAGCTGACACGACAAAGAAACACCGTTTACTGCATCGACCTGCGTTAACCTTAATTGGGCCGAACAACCACACAGCGCAAAGGCGACTGTTTATTGGAATCCAATCCAGTAGGGCGCTTTCAGCCTTGGGGCTCAGTGCAACTCCCACACCATAGATACCACGAGCGTCAGGATCACCGGTTACCCGAAGAGTGGGCTCGTGGTAAACGGCTTGATGAGCACGACCGAACTGACGTCTAGTATGTGTGCCTCGGAGACACAACATACATAAGGAGAAAAAGGAAGGTTTCAGCAAGGGATGCCTGCTGCCAAATTGGACAAAGAGTACGGACATTGAAAGGGTGCAACGTGGATCAGATTTTTGAGGTTAGTAGTTATTTTGGTTTATTTTGCAGAGGGACGGTTGAGAGACAGCACAGTGGTTAGGGAATTAGTAGATGGGTTGATTGCGCTGCATTGTACGATTGGTGGGGAGAGAGTGTTGGAGAAGACCGCTGAGCGAAGAGCTTCAAAGGTAAATGATACTTCCCGGCTGCCCAGGCCTAAGAATGGGATTGAGTTGAGGCTTTGAACTTTTGACTCAAAAGTCTGACCCACGGGGCAGTGGGAGGATATAGGATTTTGATCGGGGACCCTGCCCCTAGCCTGACTCGAGTCTGAAACGCGAGACAGCGGTTTTTAGGGTTTTCTTGAGAGACCCTTCCCGGAGCCAGTGACTCAATAGTCTGACCTACTTGGCTGTAGACAGCCGGCCTGGCCCGAGGGCGCGGGGAGTAGGGCTTACTGTCTCACTCCTAGTGCAGCTACAAACAGCGGGTGCCTTTTGAGCAGCACCGGACTCTGTGGTTTTAGAAGAGTTTTGACCGTATTGAATAATGCGTTGGTGGTCACAGTCAACCGTTTGGTGATCGGAGTGTGCGGATTTGGGGCCGACCTTTTCTAACCCGTTCTTCCTCGGGGGAAGGCAGCATTGCTGCTTCCATAAATATGAACATGCTGGTCACTTGGTGGAAACGCCTTACTGCCTTCCCACTCCGATCGTAGAGGACAGTACGGCTTACCTCCAAACCGCCTCGTAATACGATTACTCACTAGACTTTAGGAACTGAATTTCGGCCAGTATAGCCCGCGGGATCGTTGCAGGACAGAAGTCCGACCCCCACGACAAGATAACAGCTTTGGGTCGGGCTGGTTGGAGACGCTGCAAGATATGGCTGTTAACCGATGCCAATGTTCACCGTTTCTGTTCAGATGGCCTGAATGACTGTTCGGAAGTGCAGGTACGTCGGAATGATTGTAGAACGCTAGCAAGTCCCTTCCCCATCCACTTTTATTCGTTTCTCCACAATAAGGCTTCCAAATAAATCGTGGTTGTGAGGCCGCGGAGTATCAGTGTGGAACACTGATGTCATGCTGTCGATGATGATGCAGGGGGAGTCTATCGCCGAGCCCACAGAAAAGACATGGTCCTATCAGTGATCCAGTGTTTGGATAACGTTGAATGGGTTGTGCGGCTCTGGAAAGCGCTTTAGATGTCCTTTTCCAGTGGCCATTTATATCCGACATTGGACTGTCCGACAGGCGTTCAAGGAGCCGGTTCTGATATTCTCGTTGAATTTCTGAGTATACTAGCTTTTCAAAGACTAGGGGAGAGATGCTCATTTTGCGTAGACGTGAAAAGCACAATGAAAGACCGACGCGTGCAAGCCCATGGTCAGAGGTCAAGCTAGTATTCCAGAAGGAGCGGCAGGCAGTGACCGACCCTAACCACCAGTAACCGACGGCGATAAAGACTGTTTGGACTCAGGACTGGTTCGTTGGTAGGCACTAAGTTACCAAGCATTTCGGTTGTTCCGAAAAGTGGTACAACAAACGGACAGCCCGGCACACATCTGAAACTGTCCGTGCGTCTTGTGTCCAAATCCAAGACGGCCACCCAATCAGGCCTCAACAGCATTCAACCTACCTACATGAGCGTCCATGTCAGTAAACAAAAACGATGTCGCAGCTTTTAGCCCCTTGTAATACAACACCTAGCACCAGCACATAGATCGTCTTTGCCAGATTCGGGGCTACATTTCGTTGGGGTGCAAGCAGATACAATAAAGAGGGTCAATGGCCCCAGATGTTTGCTAAATGAACAACGCAGCGAATGGCGCTCACCCAAAGGGTGTATGACAGAAGTGAGCTGACTACGGTGTGACGATTTGCTAATCTGTGACTTGTCGGACTACCGAGGATATTGTTGGGGCACAAGGACAGTCTCTCACACCAGAGGATTCACAAATAAATGGGACAGGAATATATATAGAAGCGGAGCATTCAAGGCGACCTGTTTTGCAGAATGCAATAGTGCACTAGCTAGCAGGCACCACCCACCAACTTGTTCAGGACAAAGACTGCCCTGTCCAGAGGTGGGCACTGCAATTGTATTCCAGTCCGCAAGCAGCCACGAACATCAAAAAATGACTTAACGCTGCATCACTTCATTGCCGGATGCCAACGGCCGTCGCACTACTTGTCGGTTAAGAAGAAGCACACCTTTCCCCCTTTATCTCCATGGATTTTAGTATGGGGGCTGGTTGCATCAAATTTAGCGACAACAAAATTCCAAATAATCTTCCGAACCAAGGAACTCAGTGCATTTGGCCAGTATGCTCTAACGAAAAGAAGAAAACAGGATGTTCTTGCTTGTTAGGTGAATCTGCTTTGCACGACGTCCTACTGACTGTCTCAACACTTTCTTCTTGATTTACGAAGCGAGCGAAAGATGCCGCAGCAGGTGATGTCAATACAGTTACTATGTTGGATAACTAATATTCTTGTCACCAGGTTTATGAGGCAGAGTGACGCAACAACAATACGTGACTGACCATCATATAACACCACAACCGTAGTCTACGTGCAATTGATATTATAGATGTCAATTTGCACTACATAGTCAAGATCGCTGGTGTATCGAAATGTGCAGTCTGTCAGCCACATAAAACTGCTGATATCCTGAAAGACATGATTAAGTGCCTCACAATCACCCTTAATGCCCCTAACTTCCGCCTTCTGCACATTTACATGGGTATATATGAAACTCAGAATTCTCTAGCTAATAGTTATGTATTTACCTGAGGGCAATGCGGATAGAATGTGTTCGAAATGTCCCACAGCAGTCATTATAATGCGATCCAGTACTGATTCTGTAATCTCAATCTAAACCTTCAAGTAAACTGGGAAGGACCATACCGATTTTATTCGATGGACAAGTGACGCGGAAAGATACTGAAGATACAGCTTTACTTGTAGAATAAAGTCAGGGTCATCCGACAAGGTTCTGGAAATCATTCGGCACAAAACCGTAGCTTACCTGTACCACGAAAGGACATAATGGTCAAGCAGGATATCGAAAATCTGGAAAGTGAAGTAAAAGAGGGGAACGTACAGATTCAATGGCATCACTGGTCTTTGAACCAACCGTCACGCGTAATGGGTTGAAGTATGACGTGCTGTGTGCTTGCGAACATTCTTGACTTCTATAAATTACCGTCATTAGACATGAAGTGAATGGACCTAATGGTCTCCTTGAGAGATATGCGCCCCGAATCTGTCAGTCCTCTCCCTCCTGGGCAAAACAACGGGCTTACTATAAAAAAACGCGGAATCTTTCATCTACCCAAGTAATATTTTTAAATAATAGCCCATCAGGAAAAACAGAGTGCCGACACTCAATATAACAAGCATCATTCACGAGACGCGCATCCTCGTAACTCCCAATCCGCACCACGCGGGCTGCGTGAAGGTCGGCAGTGTCGTGCTTACCAAGGAGATTAGGTTCGATGTGTTTTCAAAGATTCACGTATTTATTCACAGGATCGAGTCTTTCAACCAATCTCCCCTCGTCGGGTTTGTTCTGGTCGTTCAATAGCTCCCGTTCACATGAAAGATACAAGCGAAAAAGGGTGTAGTACCACTCATTATGTTCTTAGTGTAAGCTTGCCAGCGCGAGGACCCAAATGAATAGAACACTTAAAGTGCTTTGAGCCGGGTAACAGATGCACCGTGAACAACCGCTGGAGGAAGGTTAGTCCACGCACCAAATGTTCAAAATAAGAACAATTATTGCTCAGTAATAGTGTGCGTCCTGAGCCTGAAAACCTTACCATGCCTCCACCGTGCACTAGTGAGGTGAATCGGGATAATCCGTTGACAAAACCTCGTGCAAACAGTACACAAGAAATTTCCAGGTCCCCGCGAGGGCGACGATACTGTAGTGGAGATAGGCTAAGCACCATGAGGCACATTTAACAGTCAAAAGCTTTGAGGGCAGCTTAACCCAAACCCAAAGGAAAGACTCGTATTGGCTGCCATATGGCTCAATTTCTCAAACGTACTCGATTGATTCCCGCACGTTCCGCTTCTCCACAGGTTCGAGCCTTATGGGGTCCAGGGAGAAAGTTTATGCCATATTAGGGCTTTACCACCAGACAAAACATTCCGAATGAAAGTAAGCTCGACCTACATTTCTTCGGCACCGGTCTACTCTGAAGTTCCTCAAGGTTTAGTTTTGGGGCCACTCATGTTTCTGATCCACATCAGCAACCTTCTAGATGCGTTTTCAAGTCCACCTCTACCTCTTTCAGGTGACTTAAAATCCCTAGGTCCCAACATCAGAGCCCTCCAAATGTTTGTAAGCAGTGCGAGGCTGCCAAACAGGCACCTGCCTCTGAATGGCGAAAAGTGCGTTATCATTCCATGTTATTCCGTGGAAACCCAGCGAACGCCTGTGTTGTATGTGAAAATACTGGACCATTAGACATCATGAATATAGATGCAAAATAGAATTTAGGCATCTGGCCTCTTTCAAACTTGTTCATATCAATCCGCCGTGAAAAAATCCCGAATTGTTTATTTTGTAGTTTCGCCATCATTTTCCTGAAAATTGGGGTCTCAATTGGAACTCAGACTGCCAGTGCGGAGTTTGGGGCTTGAGGTGATGTAGTAGGTAGGGAACCAGAGAGGGGTGGGCCCGTTCAACATGTGCCTGTGAATAGACACTAGCAGTGGATTCGACGCTGCAACACGTTTTTTTAGAGAGACCAGCTTGGTACTCGTAAAAAATTCCGGAGCAACAAGCCTCCTTGCAGCCACAGCCAAGTTGGTCCTCATTTCAGGATTAATTACCATGTTGTTCGTAGTGTCATAATGTCTTCTGTATGGATTTATATGAAAGTTAGAAGTGCCAAATGTTTTCACAGACAAGGTAAGTTTTGAGAGGTCCAATCAAAAACAACCTGATTGGAATCGGTAGTTTTTCACTAGGCCCTTCTAAAATGATGACTTCTAAATCAGATCCAAACCTTTTTCAGTTGATTGGAGACCTGATAAGAAATTCATGTGGAGCTTTCAAAAACGGAGGATTTCAGATCGAGCGTTGAAATCATTAAGACTGTTGAACCTAAACCACTATGTGTGTATCCTGCTACTCCGCTGGCCCAGTGAATTTTCTATCGGCTTTTACTCACTCTTCCCTTCAGGATTGCGATTGCCACTGAAGAACGAGAAGCGCATTAGCCAGAGACACTGTGGCAAATAACCTATGCCGCTTAAAAGGACATCTTAAATCCATTTCGTCTATTTGTAGGTCTTGGAGGCTCAAAAAGCTGTCATTGGAGGAGCACGTGGAACAGAACTCATGGTAGAATGTGGCAGCAAAATTGCTTCCGTTTAACCACAGATGCTTTCCAGATGGACGTCAACATTTGGCCCAGGGTCCTCACAGTCTCAGACACCATCACATAATTTTGCAAATGGTTGATCAGTCAAAGACCCGCTAAAACGCACAACTACCCACGAAGCTGAAGCCTTCAGGCTTCCTGAAGGAATATATAGCAGTGTTCCAGAACCCCCCATACTGAACGATATTTTACGTTTGCTGACCTCCTGGGCTGTTCCTGCTTGAAAATTGCTCGCATTTTACAATTGGGCCTCACACTCTGGTTAGTGATAATTTTGCTCAAGGCTGGGAAATCGTGATTAGGCACATTCCGGAAGTTATGTATCTGATCATCAGGGGCTTCCTGGCTGACTGTCGGTCACAGTCTCACAAGCTCTTGAAAAGTTCAGCGAAATGCACTGGGTTCCTGGGTGATTCAGGTCAGTCATGCCGAAAGCAAGGCCAATTTTCCTTTCAGTTGCGGCACCAGGGACTTGGATCTCCGGTCCATAAGCTTGGCGCGCACGAAGCACCTTGTACATGTTTTCGGACGGTCAGTTTCTCTGAGCGCGCCCTTTATGCCCGTTCCAAAAAAGGCTCAAAAGTGAATCAATCTGTGAGGTCTGCCTAAATACCTAGCGAAAATAACCTCTCGTTTAGACAAATTTGTTCCCGAACTCGCAGGGTACTTATTTTATGAGGCATTGCCGGGTCATTATAATGCGTTCAAAACAACGAAACAGAGGGGAGGGCAAGAACATGTTGACATACTAATC